CGGCTCACCAAGTTAGTACAAGGCTCGAGCTCGAATTCGGCTCGAGCTAGAACCTTGAGCTCGACCTCGGCTCGAGTCAAAAACTCATAAGCTCGAGCTCGATTTGAGAAAAAAAGTTATATAAAAAAAAATAATATATAAAAATATTTTTATTTGATATTTAAAAAATTAAGAATTATAATAATTAAGAATTGTAATATTTTTATTATATATATCTATTAGGCTTGAGCTCAACTTGTTTATTCCTAGCGTTTGTAAATTGGGCTTGGGCCTGAGCCAAGCTGAGTTTTTCATGAGCCGAGCTCGAGTAAGTCGTGAAGAGCTCGGCTGGTGGCCACCCCTACTTTCCATGGGTTGTATTTGTAGACAAAGATCCTTGCTATCAATCATTTGATATCAAGAGCCCTTCAAATCTCTCACTCTCTCTCTCTCTCTCTCTCTCTCTCTCTCTCGCTGAGAGGTCTTTGTTTGTTGCAGTATGTCTAACTAGGGCCAGGTTAATTGGCTTATGTTGATTTCGATATTTGTCCAATTCAGACCCTAAGTAGTCCTGACATCCAAGGCTCTAGCAGTGGCAATTGGGTGGGTTGGGTTGGGTTTAGTTTGGGTTGAGCTTCAACCCAACCCACCTAACATGCCAACCCATTAATGACTCAGTTATATAAAATTAAATGGGTTGGGTTCAACCCAAACCCACTTTAACCCAATCCAACCCGCCCAACCCCATTAATCTTATATTTATGTATTTAAAACAAAAAACTAACTCTCTCTTAACAAGTAAGTTTGTCATAGCTTGGTGGTAATAATAGTTGTTATTTTCACAAGTGGTGAATGTTCAAATCACAGTACATGCATGTTATTTTTACAACAAAAGATGTTGTAGGATTTATTCATCCTCTTCTACAACCCTTGAATATCTTTTTCTTCCCTTTTCAAAGCCTTCTCCACCAAAAAACCTTGTTATTTCTCCAAAAGCCTTAGAGAGCAAAAGAAAGATTGAGAGCTAGACCTTATTCATTGATAACCCAAAGACAAGTTGGCTTCCAAGGTGAGTCAATCTTTGGTCTTTTCTACTTTTCTTTCATTTTCCTTTATTACTGTGGATGCCCACCTCATGAGGAAAATAACCCATATTGTAACAGGGTGTATGTTGGGCAGTCAAGAAACATCTAAAAAAAGGACATGGTAAAAAATGCATATGTTGAGGTGGATATGAAAATTTAGAAATGATAAGATCAGAAATGAAGTCATTTAGAGAAATCTAAGAGTGACTCTATTGGATAATAACATGAGAGCTGAGATGGTTTGGTATACAAGCATAAAACACCATGTGCAACACTCTTAACAAGAACCGATCTATTATAGGTTGAAGGGGCTACAAGGGCTAGAGGTAGAATTAAAATGGCATTGATTGAAGTAGTAAGAAATTATTTAAGTGTTTATTATATTACAATATATAGGTATGATACTAAACAGAACATAATGGCAAAAGAGGATTCATGTAACCAATCCCATATAGTTGGTGACAGGATCTACTGCCAACAGAAAGCATTTTAACAAACTGAAAGGATGGCACTAAACCATGCGTTAAAACTTAGACATCTTTCCATGAATGTAACATACAAGTATGAGAGATGTTCTTGATGATGTGCAGTTGGATATCATTTTGTAAGTGTGTTAAAACACCTTTTGCTAGGATTGGTTGGATGTCTTTCTTGATGGCAAAACAGGTTTCATGTTGTTATCTCAGTGTGTTAAAACACATTGAAAAAACAATTTTTTTTTTATAAAGAAAACACTTACTATTAAAGAGAAGAAAAATTACAAGAATAGTCCAAAAAGGAAGAGATGACCAAACAACCTCTTGATCAAAAGACTTAGCTCTACAAACCATAGAATGAGCTAAACCATTAAGGTATCAACCAACATTAATTATATAGTGGTAAAATAGTGGTAAAATAGAATTCCTTTCAGCTACTTTTTTTTTTGATATTTGGTGATACAAACCACACTATTAATNCCCCCCCCCCCCAAAGTTGGTGGTTGTGGGAATCAAATCCACCTCTATGCTGGAGCAAACCAGATAACATACCAACTGAACCACCCCTAAGTTGGCACTTGGGGTTCGATTGCTTGCAGTTCAATTTAGTTTGTTCTGGAACAAATACATGATAGTGCAAATTCTGGTTCATTTTTGCTTCAGGTTTCACTTTAATTGCTTTTAGTCAAACAAAAGTAGACCAGATCGAATTTCAGTTTTATTCTTCTGCACTAATACAAATACAAAGAAAGTTGCATGGGAAGAAAATGAGGCCTTAACTCAACAATCTTTATGGGCCAATCCGGTTCTTGTTTTTACAGTCATGGTTGGTGAAGTTTTGCAGTCTAACCTGAGACCTGGAATCGACGTCACATTTTCTTGTTTGGGGTGCGATTAGGGTTTCTCTATAGGAGAGCCATTGTCAGGGGTGCAACTCACTATTTGTGGAGCCGATGACTGGCTCCCTGTAATTCCTTCAGCAGAAACATGACTACTCCAGCAGGTGATCTGCTAGTGAAATCTTTTCCTATTGTAGTAAGCTCCCTCTCTCCTATCTCAGTGCCAACGCTATCTTTTCCCATCGTTGAAGCAAGTCTAAAGCAGAGAAAACCGGCGGTTTTCTTCTATGAAGAAGATTTGCAACAATCCCATGAAGTTTTCAAATGGACATTGATCGAAAAGTGTATATATGGCCGCCCAACATTACTGATGATTCAATATTCATTGTTCACTCTTTTCTTTTGAAAGGTGAGGTTTGGGTTACTTCGTCTTTGGATTCAAAACATGTTTTAATCTGTTTTGCTATAGAAGAGAATTTTTTTTTCAAAGCATAGTTGCATGATGTCTTTAAAATCAAATCATTTTTATTTAGATTATTCAAGTGGATGCCGGATTTTGTGTTTAGCTGAAAGCCATCTGTGGTTCCTGTTTGGATCAATCTCCTCTTTCTTCCAATTAACTTTTTCTTGGAAGATTTATTGCGTTCTATTGCCCGAGCCATTGGCCCAATGCTAAAGCTTGATCCTACAACTACAAATCTCTCTACAACAAATGCAACTCGGGTTTGTATTGAACTGGATCTATTGAAAAAACATCCATCTCGCTTTTGGATTGGTACTAGCCGCAATGGTTTTTCGGAAAGAAGTGGTCTATGAGTAAATTCCAAAATATTGCACTCATTGCTACAAGATCAGCCATGGCACTAACACTTGCAAGCACAATAAGGCGAACAACCGTAAGGAAGAGATTCTGGCTAGGCGGCCGACGACCATGAAAACAGCGTATAGACAATCTTCTATCAATAGGAAACTGATAGAGTTGGAAACTCCCTTAGATAAAGGAAAAATGGATCTGCCAAGATCCTTAGAGCTTTTGGATGAAAATTTAAATAAAGAATCTGAAATGCAGTTATTTTAGAGCCATTTAATGTGAGTGCTAACCCAATGCCTATTCATAAACAAGGTATTATGGTCAAAGATAACCTTTTTCTTACTGACTATAACAAACCATTTTGGGATTTTGGCAAAATGGCTAACTCAGCCCCACCAACTAAAGAATTTTAGAAGAGAGAACAACTCATCTTGACTGGTATGTTTGACCGATGGAAAAATAGTTTGGATGTTTCTCCCCCCATGGCATTTAGTTGACAATGAGGACTCTTCCATTTCACCATTACCAAATCCGATTGAGGTTTTGGTGGCCAAAGAGAAGGAAAATCCCTCGGTGACACCAGAGAATAAGGAAAATAGACAAAAAACAAAAAATTCAACTATGGCAGTTTCAAACTTGGGGCAAGATGATGGCTCTCAATCTGAAGCAAAGAGGCTTGACATTATGAAATTGAAAAGTTCAAGTGCTATGATCCAAAAACATCTTGATGCTAAACGGGATTTTAATTCAAAGCGAAAAGAGAGGGAAAGAAACTACATCTGTTACAGTTGGCATGGAAAGAAACGGGATTTTTTTCTTGTTTTTTTTTTTTTTCATTCTTGAAACCGAATTGTAAAGCAACTTCTCCCAAATGGGACTTTATGCCAATATTTCCATATATGTATTTACCAACCCCGGATCCGCTACAAACAAGCTTGTTTGCACCATTACCAGATGTACCAGCAAGTAATGTGTTTATTCTTGATTGGGTTGTATATGTCTTGTTTGTATCAGATCCTGACACAGCATTGCATGAACCCAATATGGTCCAAAAAATAACAAAATCGGCTTAGTTTCAGACGAACTGAATTAGTAGTTCAACATAATAGAAATCCTTTTGAAGTTTTACGTGTGGTTCTTACTCTCAGAAAAAAAAAAAACATAAAACAAGGATCAAATAATTCCATATAATTCCAGCTTGTAGTTGAAATGATAATAATCTCTGTATTTTTCGTTCACTTGTCTAAGAAATTTATTTCCTAAAGCAAAGAACTTTAGTTGAAGGTAGGCTGCACCGTCAGCCATTAGAGTTTGACAAGAACAGCAATCCTACTGTGGGGCTCAAGCGGCCAGCATCACATGGCCACAAGCAATACATCACGTCAAGAACATGGAAGCATGAGATCTATTATCTTCACTTTTAGTAGATGGCCCAGTGGTTTCCCGCAAAATTTTAAGCTCTACACGATAGCTACATGTCTTTTCTTGGCTCAAGTTCATACAGACAACTCCATTGGCACGACAGCTACATGTATTTGATGGGGGACCAGAATTAATGAAAGCTGCAACTGCAAATGGAGATATGGGCCGTGATTGCTGTAGCATTTGTTGTTCGTTTCTGCCTTTTGACAGCTTTTGTTTGTTATAGAAAGGCTGAAGGCGGGAAGACAGAAGGATGGGGACGATTGAATTTCTGATATATACTCTATATCAGGGAAATTTAAGCTAAATTTGGAGGATTTATCTGCATAATTAGTAGTAGTTCGACGGAAATTTCAGATGGTTAAATTAGAACTTTTCATCCATTTAATCCTTCATCACCTCATCAGAACCCACTTGTTTCTGCACTAAAGTTTCAGCAGAATTAATTTTATCAACTTACAGAAATATATCATACAAATGAAGGGTACCAATTAACACCAAAATCAATTGAACCACGCACAAACAGAATTATAATGACTGTGCCCAGAAAGAATGAGAAGTATTTCTCTTTATGTTTTGGCTAATTATTCTACCAGTGAGAAAGACTTAAATCAGTTCTATGGATATCTATTTTGCCAAGTCAAGCAACGAAAAGGATTATCTGATGATAGGTTCAGTTGATCTGGAAAAGCTAGAACAGTGCTTGCTGAGAAGCTTGGGTTTGGTGAAGTCCTCATTCTCATTCCTGATCTCCTTGAGCAGCGCTATTACATCATTCATGGTGGGTCGCTCCCCTGGGGATGGGTTTACACAGAGAAGAGCCACACCGAGTACTTGAAGCATCGCTTGGATCTGAGTACCAGATAGGCGCTGAAGCTGCTGATCAAGAATGGATGTGGCTCCTTCATCTGTTTCTCTGAGTTCCTCTCCAACCCAACTCACAATGTGGGCGCCTTCAGGCATCCTTTGATCGGTTGGTTCCATTCCAGTTAAGACCTCCAGAAGCACCACCCCAAAGCTGTAGACATCACTTTTCTCTGTGATCCTCAAACTATATCCGTATTCTGCATTGGATTAAAGGTGATAATGATCATATACCAACCCAAGCAGATTAAGAAAACAACTTGGTCATTATAATGGAACTGAGAACAATTCTACTTACCAGGAGCTATGTACCCATAAGAGCCTGCAACAGTGTGGGATGGCCTTGAGTGATCTGGGGAACTGACAAGCCTTGCAATGCCAAAATCTGCGAGATAAGCTTGGAACTGTGGACCGACCAAGATGTTGTTGGGCTTGATATCACGATGAATGATTGGAGGGATGCAGTCATGGTGAAGATAGGCCAGACCCTGAGCTGCACCCAGAATGATCTTGTATCTGGAATCCCAGTCCAAGAACACTTTCTTCTCATGAAGCAATCCATGCAAGCTCCCATTACTAATGTAATCAAACAGAAGCAACCGAGTTTTCCCATTGGTACAACATCCCAGTAGTCTCACTATGTTTTTATGTCTTATTGATCCAAGAGTCTTAACCTCCGTCGCAAACGAGTCTGTCTCTGGGAACTCACCATCCTTCAAAGGCCACAGCTTCTTCACGGCAATCACCTGCCCACCTGGAGTCTCAACGCGGTAAACAACGCCAGAGAATCCTTTGCCAACAATATTGGAATCTAACAACCTTGTTAAGGCATACTCTATGGAGAAATTCAGCTTCTGGAATGGAGTGAATTCCCATGGCAGCCCGTTCTGTTCTTCCTCATCTCTTCTAACTGCCATTCTCTGAGATCGTATGGCCAATATCATTCCCAAGAGCACGATAACTACTATCACTGTAACACTGAGTACTAAACAGAAAACATTTCTGATCGAATTTCTTCTGTGGAGATTTTCACCAGATTTGCAATGACAGTCATTTCCTTTAATGCAGAGATCTTTGTTACCATAAAAAACAGTTACAGGAAGATCTCGAAAAAACTTGGTATCAGGAGGAAAACCTGAGAAGTTATTGTATGAGACGTCCAAGGAAACAAGATTGTCCAGCATACCCAGTACTGTAAGGCTTCCTGTCAACATGTTGTGAGAAATATCCAAGGAAGCAAGCTTTGACAGATTCGAAAAACTTTCAGGAATTGGACTAGACAGAGCGTTCCAACTCAGATTTAACAGAATGTCCAATTCTTGCAAGTCACCAAGCGCGTCGGGTATCGAACCAGAGATTCTGTTACTGCTCATATCCAGCAACTCCAAATCCTTACACTGACCAAGAGATTTGGGTATCAAACCAGTAATGTAGTTATTACTTAAAGCAAGCTTATTTAAAGAAATAAGCTTCCCCAACTCCTCCGGAACAGAGCCTGATATTCTATTCATTGAAAGGTCTAAAACGTTAAGATTCCGAAGGAATTGAAAAGACGTTGGAATATTGCCTTGTAGCTCATTTTCATGCAAATCAACCATTTCTAGCTGATGGCAGTTACCAAGCTCAGGTGGGATTTCTCCAGAGAACTGATTCTCCGATAATTCAAGGAAGCTCAAACTACTTAAGAGCCCAATTTCTGATGGAATTCGGTCAGAAAACCGGTTTGATCCTAGGCGTAGACGCGTCAAGCTTGTACAGTTTCCTATCTCTGGGGGAATCTTCCCGGAAAGTCCATTGCTTAGAAGCAAAAGTTTGGTTAAATTCTTGAGATTAAACAGAGAAATGGGAACTGATCCAGTGAGGAAATTATGCGAAAGATCCAAATCTTGGAGTTTCTCACAGCTTCCCAGTTCAAATGGTATGTTTCCATGGAGCTGATTCTGCCATGCAAAGAATAGAGAAAGCTTCTTCAACCGCCCAATTTCGGATGGAATCTTACCAATGAATTGGTTATTATATAGTTCAAGGTGCTTCAGATGCGAAGAGTTGCCAATGAAAGGAGGTATCTTACCTGAAATGTTGTTATCAGAGAGAAGAAGCTCTTCTAACTCTACTAGATTTGAAAGCAATGGAGGGAGTTCACCAGTAAGATAATTCAGCGAGAGGTCTATAACCGTCAAGCTCGAACAGTTCCCAAGTGCTCCTGGTATATTCCCACTAAGGTTGTTCTTCCACAACAACAATTTCCTGAGATTTTTCAACAGACCAAATTCGTTAGGAATACTTTCAGACAGTTGGTTCTCGTGCAGAAACAGATTTTCTAAGGCTGAGCAGTTGCCCATTTCAGGTGGGATCTTGCCGGAGAGGTTTGCTGTGTAGATGGAAAGAGTTTTCAGATTCTTCAATTCTCCTATACTGTATGGGATCTTCCCTGAAATCCCAGTATGTGCAAGACCCAGAAAAGTCAGAGCTTTACAGTTTGAAATCTCTGCTGGAATTTCTCCATGTAGTCCCTGATTGCCACCAGCCCGAAATATTTCTAGACCAGATAACCTGGTCAATTCTTCAGGAATCTTTCCTGAGAATTGGTTGTCCATCAGTTCAATCTTCTGAAGCATTGAACAGTTGCCAATTTCAGGTGGAATCTCACCCTGTAAAAAGTTGGAATTCAATGACAATAATTGAAGTCGAGATAACTTCCCAATATCAGGAGGAACTTTTCCAGTAAAAGCATTGAAGCTGAGGTCGAGGGTGGCCAGCAATGACAGATTCGAGATTGCTGGTGGTATTTCGCCTGTAAGATTTGCATCAGAGAGGACAAGTGTGGTGAGAGAACTGAACGAGAGAATATGAGTAGGAAAACTAGTAGGAAGGTTGATAGAACTGATTGAGATTTCTGAAACAAACCCATCTGCTGAACACTTGACATACGCCCAATTGCATGGATTTTGGTGGGTTGCGTTCCATGAAGAGAAGAAAGAAGCAGAGGAGGATATATTGAAGGTTGAGAGCCATGAGAGGAGTGATAGACCTTCATGGTTCAAAGCAGAGGTTGGAAAGTAGACTGACACGTTTAGGAGTAGCAGAAAGAAATAGAGTAGACCGCTACACATGATGGGGTTCATAATGGTTGCGCGATTGTGTTCTTTCTCTGTACTTGCAGAGACACCAGTCAAATTTCTTCTGAATGTTTTCTCTAGCGCGAGAGTGAATAGCCCTTGGTTTTTCTCTAGAATTACAGAAACATTTGGAAGTGTAATTCATTTCTATATCATTTAAATGACTAGTGTGTCCCCTCCTAAAGATATTGAAAGATATGCACAAGCTTGAAAAGAGACAGATTCGTTTATGGTTTTAATGAAGAGGGAGAGGTTGAAGATGAGATTACAGTTGGTGGAGAGTGGTTAGGATATAAAGCATTCTTGTCTCCATTAAAAATTTTCATCATGAATTAACTGATGAGACTTCTAGTTGCCAATGAAAACAGTGCAACTAACAAACCATCATAGTTTCACACTGCAGTTGCCATGAAAACTATATATCACAGTGCAATGAAGTTACATGCTTGTCGGCGAAGGCTGTCCAACCAATGGCTTTCATACATATGAGAATCCCTTCAGCTAGAATATTAGACTTCACTCCCATGAAATAAGAAACGCCAATTTGACATTTCTACAAACAGCTCCCGTACATGCATTTTATAGTATGCTTACGGCCTCAGGTAACAATTTTATGCCAATTTGTTTTGATCAAACTAAAAAGTTCCAAGTAAAGCCAGCAATGATACCAAAACACAATCTTATTCTTTTCCCCTATTGGGCTCCCAATGTGTCCAATTCATTGTAACACAAGCGCCATTACTTTCTAGTAGGGGCTGTAAACAGATCATATTCGGATCGGATTCAACAAAATCCGAATCTGATTCAATCATTGAAAATTTGCATTTGAAATTTGATTTGTATTCGAATTTGAATTCTAACTGACTCAGATTGGATTTGGATTTAATTCAACTCTAATTTATTTTTTTTAGAATGCAAAAGAAAGTTAATTACTTATCAAATTTTATACATAATAAATTAATATAAATATAACATACTAAATTTATTATATATATATAATTATATAAATTTTTTATATTGAAATCAATATATAATATAATATAATTAGATTAATCGAATCAAATAGAGTCAAATCTGAATTCAATCTGATTACATAAATACATCATCCAAATTTAAAATAATTGGATTAAATACCAGATTGGATCATAAAATTTCATGTATCATTAAAAAGCCTACTTTATAGGGTGCAAATTGGGCACTTAGGCTGGATTAACATAAATCTTACCCAAAAAGAGTGGGATTGGGTTGGATTAGGGTTATGACTGAAAGAAAAAATATTAACCCAACACTTGTAGGTGTTGTGCCGTATTGTGCTAGTTTTCAGGGGGGTTTTCCAAAACTCTCCTTTGATATTGCTCTATTGAACTCTCACTCCCTCCGTCTCTCTCTCTCTCCAAGTGAAGATGGATGCAGTGGTGTTAGTTCATAGGTGCACGTCTTCCAATTTTGTTCTAGAAATTAGAAATTTTAAGTGTTTAATATCAAATCAGTAGTAGTGTTTGGAGTCGAAGGTCGGAGAAAACCGAAGTCAGGAGTTCTTTGAGTGGCGCATTGGTAAGCACTCTGGTTGGACTTGCAGCGAACAATCTCGGGCTAGTGAGCCTGATTTTATCCTCTTGTTGCCCTATTTTTCATCATCCTATTCCTTTTATTAGTCTTGTTTTAACCTTTTTCATCTGTAAATTAGAATTTAGCTTGGATTGGTGCCTCTTTTAGTTGACCTATTCAAATGATCATGTGGTTTTAGATTATATACTTCGATTTTTTTTTATTTAATTTGTAGTATGTAGAAGCTATGATCAGTCTCTTTTGACAACCTACAGATAGGCTTTGCAAGAAGCTAGATGCTGATGCATCTGATGGGGTGGATGTAGAGAGATGGAGTCGCTTTTCCTGCTTGACTACCAACTGCAACCATAAATGGGAGATGTTCTCCTTCCAATGATCATCGAAAATGGTAGAAGCAAATTCAAGCCCATCTCCACCTATAATATCTCCACGGTTTTTTCTTTTTTCTTTGTCTTGTGATTATGAGGCAGCATTGTAACAAGGAAGATATATAGTGGGTATATATGAATGAGGCTATGTGGGTTTCATTTCAGAAATGGAATGGTTGAACCAAAATTTTGTTTTGTTTTTATTTCTAAGATTTTTACTTTCCACCATGTATTACTATGATGTTGTTTAGATATTTGATTTAAATGTATTGCAAGCGTTTATAAATTGATATTGATCTAGATTTATCATAATTCTTTTGTTTTTTTTTTCTTATTTCAGTTGATGATCACATAGGTGTGAACATGTAACATCTGTAATCTAAAGCCATAATCTACAGTTGCTTCTCATTAGGTCTATTAGTAGACTTGGCTTTCTTTAAACCTTTAAAAGTGTGAATATATAAGAAGTGGGAAGATACAATCAAGGTTCAAAGTATTGATATGATACGAGTTTTGGTCGTATCATATCGGTATTTAGAAATGGTTGATACATACTTTTTTTTAGTTTTTTTTTTCAAAGTTTAGTATTTTGGGAAGTTTATAAGATATTTTTTATTATTAAAAAAATTGGGTGTCCAAAACACCTGGAAACAGGTGTTTCGGACTGTATCTTTTGATACGATACACCCTGTATCAAGCGTATCGTATCAGTACTTTGAACCATGGATACAAGGTTATTGATTTTAGTAAATTCTTAGGTACTAAGGCTCAGTTTGGAAAGAGTACAAATGCAAATATGTACAGCATAAATACATACAAAATAATACACAATATAAGACTTTGCACTCTATATATTTGCATTTGTACTCCTTCCAAACTCAGCCTAAAGAACAATAGTTGAAAAATTGGAAGTTTTGAAATTTAAAATTTACATAGACTAATTTATCAAATCCCATTTGAGATGATTAACCATTTATCAATTTTAATTTGTCATGTGTCTTTTAGCATGGGCACTGCACTGCAAGGGATGTTTCAGACATTTCCATGGGTAGTGTTCTCTCCCTCTCAAATCAGTGTTTCTCTTCTTTATTACAACATTAATTAATTTAAACATGATAAATTAATTAAATTACTAATTTAATTAAATACTTAATTTAAACATGATAAATCAATTAAATTAATAATTTCATTACATACTTAAATTACATTAATTACTCAAAAAGTTCAAATAGTAACATTAAGCATATTAATTTAGTATAAATCTATTAAAAAAAGTTAGTACAATTTGATTTGGTAAATTTGTTTAATTTAACCTAAAGATCTTGCCCAAGCTTAACTTTGAAAAATTTTCTAAATTATTCAATTAATATAAACATGATAAATTAATTAAATGACCAATTTCATTACATACTTTTATTAAGTCATATTTGGGCAAGCATAACTTGGAAAAATTTTCTAAATTTGGCAGTTAGGCAAATTAACCATGTTAATTTAGTGTAATTTAATTAGGTAGGTCTGTTTAATTTAACCTAATTGATTAGACATGATAAATTAATTAAATAACTGATTTAATTATATACTTCATGGAGAGAGAGAGAAACATATACCAACTATTTACCAAAAAAAAAGAAAAGCAGCCCCTGCTAGCTCTTATTTTTATTGCGGAAGGGGAAATGCAGAGGGTTGACATGTGGCTGCCTTGGAAAGGGCTCCTCTCTCGTTTCTTAATTCTAATTAGTCATTTCCCCTCCCGTTCTTTAAAACGATTTTACATCTGCTTCCCACAATGCCCCACAGCACATCTCCACCTTGTATTGGGAACATTTCCCAATAAATGCGTAGATTATGAGACATCACTGAGAAATGTTATGTGCTGTGGGGCGTTGTAGGTGACTACCTTATTAATAATTATTAATAATATATATACAAATTTATAATGAAAAGAAGTAACAAAATAGTCAACTCTGTCTTGGTAACTAACACAAGTTCTGATCTTTTTGTTTCACATAAACATGGTAATATTTTTAATTCATAATTTTCTTAAAATATGATTATTTTATTATTGAATAATTATGTATTGTTGTTTTTTGTCCAAATAGATAACACAAATTCTGATCTTTTTGTTTCACATAAACATGATAATATTTTTAATCATAATTTTCTTAAAATATGATTATTTTATTATTGAATAATTATCAAATAATCATATGATGATTGGATGGGGATGATCTGAATCCAATCTGATTTTTAATCGGATCCTACTATCTGATCCGATCCAAAACTTTAATAATTATTAATTATTAATAATACAAATTTCTAATCAAAAGAAGTAAAAAAAAAATCCACTCTATCTTGTTAACTGAAATTCTGTATATTATTGTTTTTTCTGTGAGCAGATAACACAAATTCTGATCTTTTTGTTTCACATACGCATAATAATATTTTTAATTCACAATTATCTTAAATTATGACTATTTTACTATTGAGTAATTATCAAATAATCATATGATGATCAGATGGGGCCAAGGGGATGATCTAAATCCAATATGATTTTTAATCGGATCCTATTATATAGCCCAGATCCAAAAGTTGAAATAGATATATCTGAATCCAATAACATATGAGATCGGATTGGATCAATGATCCAATACATTTGCACCCTTATATAACATTTAATGGTCGACAACACTTGACTCCAGTATAAACTGTGGATTTGGCCTGATTCAAAGATTTATTCGGATCTTATAAATATTGATTCAAATTTAAATTCGATAAGGATGTTAGATATCCAAATTTGATCCAAACTTATTTAATTTAAAAATAATATACTGCCCCCTTGTGCTAATTTTTCTTTTAAAACATAAAGATTAAGGTTAGGATTGGGAGTTCAACAATTCAGGAAGAGTTGGGATGAACCTTAACCAGATCAGACCCCTGGTGCTCCCACACTAGAACTGATATGAGGTACATCTTTCTAAAGAATTTATTTATCTTTTCCCATATTTTCAGAATTCCGTTACTCCAGCGGACTAGGAGCCATACTCATTTTGGTTCCGGAAAGCTGATTCTAGAATGTAAAACTCTTGAAGAAACCTCCAAAAAGTTGGTCCTCTTTCATCTACCCAATTGGTGCAAACCTGCAAATTGAATTAGAGGGGAAGCCTTATTATTTGAGCTGTCGACTTCCCATTAGAGCCTATATAGGTGGCATCTAAGGGGACAATAAGAAGAAACAAAAAAAAAAAAGAAGGAAAATGACCATTCATGTACATGTATGAGACACGTAAAGAGTGTAATAGAAAAGCTTATAGCCTTA